TCTCTCTCTCTCTCTCTCTCTCTCTCTCTCTCAGCCAAATGTTTTCTCTCTCAACAGACGCACATAACACGCGGAGCACAGCGAGTCTCTCCTCGATATATCGATTCGACGTGAGTGTGTGTGACGAAACGAAAACGCCGGCGGAAGTCGCTACATCGTCGCGACTGTTCCGGCGAACCCGCGTGCAATTCGAGTAGAAAGAGAGAGAGAGAGAGAGAGATCCAGGTGTAAGAGAGCGAGGCCAGCGAGGAGGAGTTTCGACCTTTGAGGGTCCTGCGCCGTTTGCCCGAGAGAGAGTCGAGTTATCCAACCAGGTGGATGAGCTCTATCGAGGTCACGAACGGTGAGCCCGCTGATCGCGAGATTCGAGCCGTGAAACTCGAATAAATCTCACTTGACTACTCGACAGTTCTGGCTATTTCGATGATTGTGTCTCTGCGTTGTTGCACACACGCCAAGGTCGGCCTCTGTCGTTTATTCTCTCACGTACGGAGCGGAAGGTCACTGGTTCTCACGAAAACTCGCGGATATCTTCCGGAACCAATTTCCGTCCGTTCTTCACGGCACGCAGCACGGTTCTTCGATCGTTCCTGCAACAGAACAAAGTGTTGGTTTGTTAGATATGTTAGATATGATTGCAGTTTATCGAGCGAACGTTTTATTTAAAAAAAAGGAGGGTTTTTTTGTTATTTTGCAACAGGAAGGTGATCATAGCGTTGCATAGAATTAATATATACTTCTATTTTTATAAGCGTTTCAGGATGATCGAAGATGAATACTGAATGAATTAATAAAAGAATTGCAAATAACACGGATGACGAAATTTTTGCAGAAATTTATATTTTCCAGAATATGATAATAATAAAAAAAAAAAAGATAGAGTATCGATAGACAATTTTTTATTTCATAAATATTTTATGTGCCTCCGTGTACAATCTCCTCTAAGTGCACAAATCATTCCCTCCGTTATAATTATTATTTGTTCGAGTTTACTTAAACGATGAAGTCGTCAGTGTACCACCGAAAGGTACATAATTAATTATTCCACGTTTACAAGAGTAAATAATCCTTACTTAGTTACTCAAGGAACTGAGTAGGTTAATCTGTTGAAAAATGTCTGACACTGAGAAATATTGTCTGGATATTATTAGAATCGTTCAAGTTGGCTTTCATGTCGGCATATTATTTCTTCTCTTCAGATGAGAATCCAGGGCAGTTCATTATAATCTCCATGTATGTTTATACTAAATGATCCACGAGATTGACGTTCAATTTATATTTTTTTTATTGTAATATTCCTTCACGTCAGAGACACGGATGTGCAAATTCTTATTTGCCTCCTTTTCTATTCATAATTATTCGCTAATTTATACAAATATATGTCTATATAAATAACGCGTGACAATATTACAATGTTTATTTGATCCATGATTTTTTTCATATTGAGATTATGAATTCCTACAATTGGTCGAATTAGACATTCATGCCTCTGGCATAAAGAGAACGATTTAATATTTTTATATCATCGTTTTACTGTGTTATTCAAATTATGATTTATTATAATTAAAATGATAATAAATCTTATTATATTTCAATATATCTTACATGTCTATGATATAGATATATCATATTATATCATAAGATATAATTATCATATTATCATATATATAGATATATCATGCTATATATCTTATATCACATCTTTCAATATATCTTCAATATAAATTAATATTTGCGTATATTTAACTGAATCTCACAGACTAAAAACATACCATCTAATAGAAATTTCGTATGGCCCAAAACACAGTTTTTTTTGAATTATATCTTTTCAATCGGACATCCTTTTTAACTTAAACGTTTGTCTACTACGTCTACTACTCGTTTTACTAATTGCTTGAGATACACAAACAAAATGCAATAACAACAGATCGTCTGATTGTGAGAATGAAACAATTAGTCGTAGGACTGAAGCCAAAAATTCGATCAACGGATAAATTTTCTTCGTCGAATATCCAATAAGTAAGATCTCTGGAATGTCGGCGAAATGATTGTCCAGGTAACAGCGGTTCCCGAAAGCCAGAATCACGAAGACGTT